GTAATATCCAATTTTTTTTTTCCTAGTGTGTAACGTTTACGGGACTAATTCAGTTCTTTATACATTCTCTGAGTAGTAGTAGGTAGCTTAAAATATAATTGTTAAAATTAATAAACAACTGTGAGTCTTTTCATGCCAAATTTGGTAATTTATTTACTTCAGCACATTCAAATATTGGAGTTTTCATCAACTATTATTTATCAGCCATGCAGACGGATTCTTATATACAAATGAATTCCGCCAATAATAATGAAAGTAGGATAATTAGAACACAACAAAAAAATAATATAATATAAATAAAAAAAATAGAATTATATAACGACAACCAAATTAATTTTAATTTACATTAGATATTTTATATTTTATTTTACCGACGGCGACAATGTTTGTTGTAAATTGTCTTTATCATGATTATTATTATTTGTTTAGATTAGTCTGTTTTAGCCATTTCCGGTTTTACCTTTTTATTCTAAAATATTATTTTTATTTAATTTTAATAACATAATACAATTATATTGTATTTAAAATAAATATAATAAATTTATGATGTGTGCGGAGTTAAGGTGTTCAAAAAAAAAACCTTGTATGTTAAGACGATATATTATAAATATTATAAAATAGAGGCGATCCGTTTATACGCACCACGTACGTTCAACGTGATCACCACATGTCCGGCGACTGGCACAACAAGGGTTAAACGACTAGTCTCCAGTATCCAGCATTTCGCTTTTAATCTCGAATGCTGGCTATCTTGTACGGACAGATAAACCATAATATTGTATACGTACACACACGTTTTCAATTCAAGTAGAAATAATAATAATGGGAAAAAAATGACAAACTCATTTGAAACACATGGTGTTTTCAAACTAATATTTATACATTCTCTTTGAGTGAATTTTATTTTCCCTCTCGGTCGGTCAGGTCGCATAAACTCATTTTCGACGTACACACACGAAATATGCATTGCATGACAACTGTAATAATAATAATAACAAAAAGTCAAGAACATTGTTTTCATCCTTTTGTGCGTCTCGGCCAGCAGGGAATGCGCTTTTATGCTATATGCGGTATTATAATATTGTTGTCTGGAAAAATTAAAAATACGCGTATTTTTGTTAATAAAAGAATAATATACAGCCATATGAATATGGGTATGCGTATGATTGGTTTAGTGCAACTACTAATATTTTCATACATCATAATATTATTATGAATTATGATTAACAGTCATATAATTATTATAAAATATATTATATTATGATGATTAAATTTAATTGTAATATTTAGAAAATTTGAAAAATTTGAAAAATTAGATATTTTCATATCGAGTATTCTGTAGTTTATTTTAAAAATCCATAAATTAATATATATATATATTACATACTACATACTTTTTGTATAGGTAATGTGTACCTGTGATCGTTAAGGTTTCCTGGAATACTATTTTAATATCTATTGTCACTGTGTAAAAGCATATTTGTTGAATTATCAAGAAACTGTTATTCAGTTATTATATTGTATTTTTCGAACATTCACAGAACGAGAGAAAAGTTTTGATATTTAATGAAGAATTTAGCAAGAACAATCTCAATTGGATCGTTGACTAAACTATAGAACTCAGACACATTCTTTATTCGAAAACTCATCGACCCGCCACTGGACAAATGTTATTAGATTTACAATAATGAAATAAAACTGGAAAATATTTTTTATGATTTTATATGAGAATATCTAATATGAAATGGTTTTTTGTTATTTGTGTGCGTCCAATTTCTTATACAATCCAATGTTAAATAAAAGAAAAATAATTCCATATCTTTATTGGCTTATTGCAGTTGTTCATAAATTCATAATCTCAAATATTACATGTGTACAAGTAAAATAATTTTACTTTAATACAAATTATTAAAACTTGGATTTTAGAAAAAAATATACGCATATGAAATTATTATCGTGCCAATATCATTAATATATTATTATTATCCGTAATCCGTATTGACATATTTATCATAAAACATTTTATTTTACGCTTCAGTTTACACTCATATTTCATCGACAACTTCAATTACGGATTTAGCATTTAAGACTGGCGATTTCCTGAACACAATGATTCTTATTGTAGTATAATAAAAAAAAGGCACACATTTTTAGTTAGCGGTCAGAAACCCCATAGAGAGCGTGACACAAACAAAGGTCAATTGTAAACGCAGTTATAGTACGCCGCGAGAGAAACGCCTGATACAAACTACATGACCTACCCAAAGTAGTTTTTCGTTGAGATTTGAAATTGTTTTTTTTTGTTTTAATGTTCTGATTGCCAAAAGGCAAAATTTAATGATACGCATATCGTTTATCGTCGATCTATCTTACCGTTACATTAAGATAATTTTTTAATTTTCAATAATTAAATAATTTTAAAAAATTCTTCATATTTTGTTATAATTGCAGTGCAGCAAAAAAGTAACAAAAATGAAAATAAATAAAATATCCTTCACTGTTATTTTAATAAAAATAATCATATAATATGATACAGTATTAAAATAGTAATATAATAAACAGCGATAAATAGTACTGTTTTTGACTTTTGGGAAAATTTTGTTTTGCCCACGGGTGTTACTACTATTTAATACTTACTAATAAAGTAATAAGTAATAAGTACCCAACAGAAAAATAAATACAATTTTATAAAAAAAATATCATTAGCTGTGCAGTGCTAACCGTCGCCGTTTATAATCGTTTTTCGACTTCAATGATTTATATCAAACAATTTAAATGAAACGCTCATTACAAAAAACTACTCTATAAAAAAAACCTTTTAGCAAAACGTATTCTTCGATTATTTCGTTGCGTTCTTCCAAACGTAGATATTTTTCATCTAAGATGCTTTAAGCCGTTCACATAACAAAAGTTTACTACAGCAGAACCAACAAACAGAATCTGATTAAACCATGATCAGTGGGTGTTACGCGGACATTATACTATGTAAAGAGCAGAATAGATATTTTTGTCGGTTTTCAATTTTAGCAAGTGGTTATAAAATATAAAATCTGTACTTTTTTTTTTTTATTAAAAAAATTAATCTAAAAAAGAAAAACATRTTCTTAAATATTATTATTCGAGAGAAAACAGTATACTATAAACTAGGTACCTAAAATCTATCATATTTTTGTCTACTGTCTATTTTAAGAATATTTTATAWTATGAATTATATTAAATTAAATTAAAGATCAGTACCTATAATTTATTATATGAATACCTAATAAGCCTGCACTAAACAATAAGATAAAATAATAATCAAAACATATTTTTCACAGATTACTATGGAGATGATCGTTTGGAAGTAAATATGTTTACGCGTGAAATTATATATAATTGTTGTACTTAAAATATTTTGAACAGCAAAACACAAGTTATAATAATCACAATCCATATTATTAATATCGTCACGATATTGTTAAGCAGCAACGCGTGAGTGCGTGACGTAATCGTACCCGTGTGTGTATGGCGGCTAAATGAATGCGCAGTTTGGTGTGTGAATGTTATTAACTTATAAGTTAGATAGGTCGTAGCTCGTAACTTACAATAATAGTAATGATTATAAATAACTAATAATAATAAATGATAACAGCAATAAAAACAATCGTGAAATCGACTTTAATCGTAAATGGCAACGGCAACAGAGGGAAATATTACTCGTGGGTAATTTTTTTTTTTAAAGAATACAATTATTGGAACCAATAGATCAGAAAACCCGACTCCCTAACCATCGTAAAAAAAGTTTATAGGTAACGATGACGTTTATAATTTCTAATGTATCTTTGGGCATGAAAAATCATGCACACGTTTTTTTACCTACGCAACGTATTTTTCGTGCCTTTTTATCAGCAAAAATTGTTATTACTTAACGCACGTCAGAAAAAAAAATTTTTTTTGGCGGCGGACGTCACCACTCACCAGCCGGGCGCGTTTCGCGATCGAAATCTGACGACGGCAATAATAATATTACATTACATTATGCACAATGCACATTTTACTATCGTGTCCATAATATGACGGTAATAAAAATAATAATATGTAWCAACGATTTGTGCACGCGCAGAAAACGCGGGTGACGGGTCAGTCGTATTTTGATGTTTATTCCTACTCCAACTCCACAAGCACCTCCACCTTTTGCCTACTCATCGTCCACCTACTTTCCTTCGACGTTGCCAAATCGCATTACCATAAGCGGCGCCACGGACGGCCGCCGTCGCGATTTTTACGACGTCCACAGCGACGCCGGCAACATAGTGCTGACCATAATATTAAAAATATAATAGTAATAATAATAATAATAATACGAGTAGTCTACTACGATTACACGTCGAGGACTACTACGGCGACGATGACGGCGGCGGCCAGTCGGCGACGAGAGTTGTAGTAGTCGGGGCCGGCCCGACGACGTTTCTCGGAAGTGCCGCCAGACCCGTCATTGTCTCTCGCGCGCTCGCTCTTTTCCGCTGTCCGTCGCTGCCGATGGCTAGCTAACGGCCTACAAAAAAAAAAACTATATCGTACCGACCGACCTCCAGAACATTTGAACATCCCGGAGATTAAAAATCACTTTAGTGGGCACGTTATAACGGCCGGCACAAACCACGGCGACAATATTATTATCACGTGTCAGCGCGAATTCGAATTCTAGAGGCAAAATAAATAATAATACGAAACCCGTGCCCGACCACCACCACTACGACTAGGTGTACATGATACATCGGACGATCTCTACCGGTACAACAACGGTATAAATAAATGATTTCGATACAATCAAAAATATTAACCACGGAGGTCTGCTATATTACAGTTAGGTAGTTGTGTAAGCACAGTACTTAATATAATATAGTTACGAATATAGGTATATATCCCACTATCTGTGGTGCATACGCACATGTTAATATTACTATTATCGTCGGCGATTTATCAATGCGATAAACTAGCATTTACTGTGATAAACTTACCTAAGATATTGTAATAGTCCTTTTAATTCGTTTTCGGTTTTTTGGCAGCAAACGATACTGTTCTTGTAATTCGGCACGCTTCCAGTCAAATGTAAATAATATATCATACAATGTTGTGATTCACAATCTCCAGTATATAATGATATTGTACCAGACAATTATTATATAACAATTTGGTGGTTATTAATTGAAATCGGTTTTAGTGATAAATAAATAAATTAATCARAAATCAGGCGACCCTCGAGAAACGTCAAAAAGTAAGACGGTTTAAATTGAATTTAAAAAAAAAATAATAATAATAAAATAAATAAATTTAATATTAGACGGGTAGAAAAAAAATCAAAATGAAACAATGACAAGACGCATGGATTGGATAGACAAATGCGTGAGTGAATAGCTGAAGACACGACGACGATACGATGTACTCATCGCGAGCCGAGGAAATAACAATAACGATAACCACTACAGTCGAGAAAGACTGAACAAACGAAACTGTTGCACTGGCACGGCAGTCGTCTGTAGTCGATGGATGGACGAAAAAAAAACCACCTGCTGCCGCCGTCGTCGCTGTCGCCGGTGCTGTTGCCGCGGTGGTGGGGGTTGTTTGCCGCCGCCGCGCCGGGTGGAACGAGCCGTGCGACGTGGTAGGGATTGTAAACAGGTGAGTGGCGGTCGACAGGTTGGGTGAGGAGATGCACGTTATACATACATATCTATACAAAACGTTTCTAATATATTGTATATAATATATGTAATATTATTATGCTATATTATCATTATGTTTACGTTCATATGTATGGGTGCGTATGTACGTGTTTGTGTGCGCGCGCGAACTAAACGCGCCCTCTACCGATCATAGGCGTGCGCTGGCCCCTTTTCCAGGGCTGACACTGGCGTGCCCCGAAAGTTATTTTAAGCATGTCAAATTCTGATAATTAAATTTATAAACCTACACTATACACRAATATTGAAAAKTTTTACTGTTTAATTAAAAAAACATTGTAACAAATACCATGACATAATACAAAAAGTATGTATTTCGCAAATACTTGGTAGTTAGTAACTAATAATTTGCTAATAACACCCGGCCATAGGTATGTTTGTGATGCGTGGTTAGCATAGCAATTATTAGCAATCACCTGATTATGATTTTATACGTGAATCAAACGTTGTCACTGCCGTTAGTCTGATATCATTTCTCTCATTTTTAATAATTTGTTATCATTATAAATATTTTAATATACGTACTAATTATTTTTCTTGCACAAAAATGTTTTTTTCTATTGTCGATTTTCGACCCTCAAAGAGCTTCAGGGTATGCAGCTGCATACCCTCTGCGCACGCACATGATCACCGATCACATATGTATCGATGTTTCAAAAATGTTATCATTGTGTCATGTAGGTATCATTTATTACAGATACTAAGTACATAATTATTTTATTATAGGTCTTGTCATATGTACCTACACTATTAATAATAAATAAATATAAATACCTACTCGTACATAGGTTTCACCATAAATTCTTAGAAGGGCAAATTTTTTTATCCAATAATGTGCTGTAGCGCCTGTAGCAAAGCGGAATGTATATTTAAAATTGTTTTATACCTATGTTGTATAATATATTAATTGCAGCCAATCTTGTGTGATGATGATGAGCATGATTTTTTTTTWAAATCATATGCCTACAAACATGCCTAGCTTGAGTTTATCTGGTCTCGAAGTAATTATAGCTGTACATTAATTATTACCAATATTAAAACAATTTTACTCATAAATTGGTAAGTACCTATATCAGGTATATTATATCTTAATAACTCGCACAGTTTTATAATTTATTACTAACCATTTGACGATGTATGTGGTATTTGACGATAGGTAATAGCTAGGTGGTACAAGGAGTATGCGCGCGGGTTATTTTTAAAATAAAAAAGTATAATATTTTCTATATACCAAGAAGATAATATAATAATATCAAAAAATGGTAATCATAAACATTTCTAACGCGATGGTATGAACATCTATTTAAAAGAATTTATATTTTTGAAAAGCACACCTTTATTTGTGCTTGAATACTTGTTTTTATGTTATAGCACATAGGTATAAATACTAAACATATTTTTATAGTTGAACTATTTTCACAGTTTAAGACGTTAAAAGGCATTATTATTAATTTCTACACATAAATTTCAAGTTTAATGATTGTGATTTCATAAGGATTACAATTTTCTTTCAGAGGTGATTGAATATTACTAAAAACTATTTTTTTCGCTGTGGGCCCACCCATTTCCTATAGAACACCATAGAATTACTATTAACTAATATAAAATAATAATTCATTCTTTTCAATTATTTAAAACTATATTTAACCACTCAATTTCATATAATATGAACGTATTTAATTTGACAAATAAACCAACGTAATAACATACAAAACAAAGAAGTTTACAATATAATCATATTTTTATTTAAATTATTTAAAAAACGCAAATTATTAAACTATAACTATTTTTTTTTTTAGATAACATTGTACTAAAATTATTTAATTGTTAAGATTGTACATACGTAATTAAACTAYATCGTATCAATATTTTACAATAACAACAATTATAATTAGGTATTTATTTTAATTAGTTATAGTCAGAAATTGGCAAAAATAACGTTTTAGTAATTATTCTTAAATAATATAGGTTATTGATTACATTGGCTTCATTCAATAAATGCATGTAATATATAAAATATTAATATATAACTTTTTTTTTCTGTGTTGTAAAACTAATAATACCTAATGTATAATTCGTTCGTTTTTGCAGACATTTTCATCCACAAAAGGTAAAATACTCATGTCCACCAGAAATCATAATCATTTTAATAGCTAACATACTTTTATAAATTATATAAATACCTAGATTATTGATGCCTTATAAGTCACGAAGTAAGTTAATAATTCCTATATAAATCGTTTTTTTAAATTTTATTCATAGAGTTAAAAGTAATAAATATCATTACGTTGTTATGTTGATTTTCAACATGTATTACTTATTGGTCATTAAGTATTATTTATTATATTATAATWTTTAAGGTGTAGTTTCAAACATAAAATTAAAAATAGTATAAGTACTGAATTGTTGACGAATGCATGAGAAAATTAGTTACTTATAAAAATTATTAAAACACAGTTCATTTTTCTTGTAAAATATCATTTATCTTGTATACAAAATATTTTTATGTAAATAATAGCAAAACACTACATGCATTTATTCTTTTTCATATAGATATCAGTTGATTTACTATTTATTTAGTTCATATTTATATATTGATGATTTCACTACACAATGGGTTACCTATTTACAACTTATTTGCGTATAAGATAAGTAATACTAACTGCAGTGGGAGGCTTTTAGTCGACTAAAAAATAAAAATCTAATTACATATACTAAAAAATACATAACACCTCGTCGTAGGGGGACGTTTGGTGCTATATCATTATAAATTTAAATGCAATGATAAATCATCAAGCTCAAAAAGATAACTCTAAATTAAATTAAGCTTTCTAATATTTAGTAATATTTACCAATGTTTATCAGTATAGATTACCTATAACTATTTTAGATGTTATAATATCCCGTTATAACACAATAATGTTTAATAAGTATGAATATTTACAATGCGTCAATTATTAACCTTATTGGCTCTAACATATTTAATATAAACATTTAAAAAACATTTAGTTGTACCTATGTTATCTTAAATCACGAATTAAATTTTTATTTGTAGAATATTTCTGAGATGCTTTAAATCATAATAACTGTTGACCTTTTGCTATAGTTTCAAAGGTTGTACAAAATTACATATTTTATAAAAATCAAATTAATATTACTAAATCAGACTTTCGAAATTACATATTTGTCATCTTGAGATCTAGCTTGAAGAATGTATTTATGGATTTAACAATAAATCATTGTATACGATTATTGTATAGGTATGCTGTAGCATCCGAGCATCTCAGCCAATCTACGTCTGTATACGATTGTATGGAGCATTCAATATCATAGCAAATTTTAAACGATTTATATTTGATTAGCTTAAAAATATTATCAAAAAAAGAAATATATAATTTTTAAGATACATATTTTTTAATGCTAAATTTGATGTATAACAAGTCAAATACTAAGATGATCATRTCTTTAAAATATTTGAAACCTATTTATCTATAAAATGCAATATGTATATTTAAATTTTTAATTACAAATCAACACTTACAATTCATAAAATTACTCTATAGATAATAAATACAAAAACATTAAAATGGCATATTACTTACCTAACTAAATAGGCCGTAATGTATAATAAATATTGAATAATGATATATMWTGTGAAGATTATAGAATTTAAAATCCTGTAGGACTATAATATAYATTGTGCTGATTTAAGCAGAAAATTGTAAATAACTGTAGCGTATAATTAAAATAAAATACTACACTAGGCATATAATACACCATAGTACATAATCTGCAGTTTTTATAGTTTAACACAAATGAAATTTTATTTAATATTTTATCTTGATRAATGTATTTAAAACTGTCACTGTCGTACCATTTAACTGAAATTGAATTTCCTATACATCTGTTTTGTACTAAAATTTGAATGGTACGATTAAGAATAGAGATTGTTAATTATAAACTCACAAAGTTATTTTGTTGTGTATTGAACCATGCACATAAACTCACAAACTTATTTACATACATATTATAAAATCGCGAGGTATACGAAACCAAATATAGTTAAATGCAAACGTATATATAGCTGTGTAAAAAATAAAAATATTTCATTGCACGAGTATAAAATTTAATGTATACTGTATAACATATTATAATGCTAAATATATTGCATTTGAATCTATTATTAAATTATGTTGAATAGTTTCCATTAAGGGCCTATACACAATTAATATGTATTACCATCAAAATTCAAAGTTTTAGTAATATAGTAATATAGTTATACTTATAAAATGTCGTGTATGTACTTTAGACTGTCTTTTAGTTTATTCAACCAGAGATTTAATAATAAACTAACCTATATAGGTTAGTCAATATTAATTCGCGATTGTTATACTATTACTCACAATGTTCTGTCTGAATTCACTATGTAAACTACAACGCCACAAAAAAAAAAAAAAAAATTTGGGAAAAAATTGGGTAAAAAATGGTGATAATTCCGCTAAATATCGTTTAAAGTCATTTGAATAATATAGTAATATAGTTATACTTATAAAATGTCGT